TTTTCTCTTCTAAGTCCAAATTACATTCTATTTACATCTTGATGGTGTGCTGATATGCTTTTTGGGAAGATAATGGGCTATTTGGTGATCTAAAGGCTTGATAAGGGTTCATTGAGTAACCTGTCAGAGGGACATGGTTCTGGCTTCTCTAGAATGGCACAGCGTTGAGTTGTGTTGGCCCCATAATTCAACAGGGAATAGCTGTGGCAGACAAATGTGCATTATTTCTGCTAGTTTTTGGCAGAGGATCGCTTTCTAGTGACAGCCAGGGAACCTCTTCTCAAGGAACTTTTTAAAAAAGAATAGATTTGTCAGTTGAAGAATTTCTTTGGTTTACATACGGTATCACGCTAAGAGATGTCTTCCAGCATACGTGCGATCAGCTAGAATGTAGAAATGGGTGAGAAATCTCATCGCTTCTAATATAGCAAGTCTGACTAAAGTGAAATAGTCCTGGTGGGAGGGGTAGGTGGGAGTGTGTATGTAGATGAACTTCATAACATCTCTTACAGATATTACAGGAAATTAAATAATCTTCCCGAGCCTCTCTGCTTTCCTGTGCCACTGATACCAGGTGGTAAATAGTGCTGTGCCCTTCATCTGGGCTGGGAGCTGCAGCAAGGAAGGCTGGTGCAGTCTTCAGTTCACCAAAACTAATTGCCAAATTGGAAAAATATGTTCTGTGATATGAATTTCAGGGCTGTTTCAAACAAGATTAAAACTTGAAGCACAAGAACAGGTAAAATGTGTGAGCCAGCTTCACAGTTGAAACACAGTTTGGCTCTTTCTGTGGCAAATTCCTTGAATTTGTTGGTGTTGTGGTTGTTTTTTTTTTCATCATCCCTTACTTTGGAGTTGGTCATGGTCCCACCTAACATACGGTGAGGACTGGGGAAGCACAAAAGTGATGGAGAATGTGGATGGAACGATGATTTTTTTTATTTGTTTGGGTTTTTTTTAAGGATTCTGTGATTTTTTTTTTTTTTCAAAAAAAATTTAAAAATCATTGACAAACTGCAACTTGGTAACATGTCTCAGTCTTCATTTGTTTCCTTTTTGGGCTCTTCTGATTATGTTAGTAGATAGTCTTGGAGTAAGAAGTCTTATCCCCATTGCTTGCAGTGGCCCTGCAATAGACCTGAGATCACAAGCACAGTCGTGTCCGAGAGACCTGTTTTGGAAAGTGCTTCTGCAGTGCCAAATCTTCAGCCTATGCCTGACCCTTTTAAATATTCTCAACTCAAAGTCACTTTCCTGATTTTAATTGATACTCTCTCCATCCTTTGGGCTGTGGCCACCTCGATGTGTGTGCTCTGCAAAGACTTTGTCCGTGTACCAGTTGGCTTTTTTTGAGGTTAACTGAGCACATGGTTCATGTTCTCTCTGGCCATTTAGCTGGAGGAAAAAGGTGACTTTTCATTTATTGTTTTGTTAGAATTAAATGTTGGTATAATGAGGTCAGTACGGTTTTGTGCCATTCTGTAGCCAATCATGGCTTTATCTGCATTAGCAAGTAGGGTGACCCAAGGGAAGTTGTTTGTGGAAGGAAATAGTTGGTGCTGAGATCCTGACGTCCATGGTTCAAGCATTTTGGAGGTGGTGGTGTGGTCACTTAGGACGAGCTCTAATCTGGTCCTGTGGACTGAGTGACCATTGGTAGTTGAGGTGCATTGGGTTCACTCCTGGAGCACATCTTCTGGTTTGGCCTCACCCGAAGCCCTTTAGTGATTTGAACCAGAGCATGGAAAGCAGGACAAAATGGTGAGCTACTTCCAAAATGCATCCTGATAGGCATGAAGGTGCTAATGTAGATGTGCTTGTTCGGGTTCCTTTGTGGGACAATACCGAGCGCTGTGTGAGCTGAACGTGTTTAAGCTTAGTGCAAGTAATTGGTAACTAGTGAGCATGTCCATCTTATCCCAGTGTGAGGAGGGAGAAACTGAAAGAGAAGGGGGGGAAGGGAAGGTTTTCTGGAAGAACTGCCAAAAACGTCAGCGCTGACGTTATAAAATTTCACGGAGCTGAAAAATATGGATGTTTTTTCAAACACTGTCAAACTTTCTAGTGGTTCTGCCTGAGTTTCTGTAGGTGAAGTGGCACCATTGCCTCCACCTAATTGTGGCTGTGACTGAGAGATCGGGATGACGTGATTTTAAGTCTTTATTTTTGGCAGTAGAGGCTTGAAGCTGTTGCACGTTGCAGATTTCACCTTGCTTTAAAGCATGTGGGAGCTTGCGAAGTAGGGGCCTGTAAAGCTCTTCTGATGAGGGGCTGTTGGAGGGAGGTTGTACGGGCCCTGACTAAATCCAATATAGTGTGCACGTAGGTCAGATTCATGTAGGTTCAGATTGTGGTTCAGTTTGTGCTCTATAGCATCAGTCGTACTGGGAAGATGTTCCCTGTTCTTCTGAAAGCCCACCCAGAGCTGTGCTTGAACTCACTGAAGTATATCAACCCTTGAAGAATTTGACTGGATTTTCACAAAATCAGCCAGGCAAATATATCTAGCAAGTGCACCATCAAGGACAGACCAAAAATAGCCTTTGAAGAGCTTGACACAGGCTATGCTACTTGCATGTAAATAAAGAGGGTAAAAAAAATATGGGGGGAAAAAAAACCCCAAACATGTTCTGAAATGTTTTCCTTGGCTTGTTTATCAAATCAGTGTCATCCAGTGCATGAATACTGGCCAAGCTTATCCCATAAGCACCTTTAAAGAGCTGGAGGATGATTGGGGTGTTTTTTGTAGCAATGTTGGTCCTCAGCACTTGAGATACTTTAAACCTCACTTGCCTTGCAAAAAGCTGTCCAGTTAACCGATTCGGCAGTGTTGCTGGTAGGTGCAAGGAGATGTTAGACCCAAACGGAGAGGAAAAAAACCAAACAAACCAGCAAACAATAGGGAAAGTGAGGTTTGAAAGGCTAGAGGTCTGCAGATGGGAAGGCATCCTGGAGAAAATAGTCATAATCTACTGAAAAGGTTAGCAATTGCTTCCTCCTGGGGAATTTTGGTGGGATGGAGTGAAGGTGTGAGTGGGTTTTGGTTTGGATGTTTATATACTCCAGATGTTCTATGGGTTGATTTTAATCTGAAACTCCTTGGTTGGAAAGAGTTGGCTTGAATGTGCAGCAGTGGTTGGTGTGGAGGAGGTTTGTTGTGGAGAGATGTTGCAGCCTTGCTGCTGTGTTTGGGACTGGGGAAGGCTGGCGTTGGCTATGGAGCTGATGTAGATGCTGTGACTGGCAACCTGCTACCAAAGATGGGGTCTTTTGGGGGGAAAACCCCCATTCCGGCCTCAGTTCTTTCCTTCCAGGAGCTCATAGGTGCAGATCTGTGCACAAGGTGGAGAGATAATAGTCTCTAAGCTCATGGCAGAGCAGTTTGGCCATGTCGTTTTGAATTGGTACCTCCTTCTGGTCTCTTTAGCTCCCTTTATCTGGAACACAAAGGCCCTCGTGGGACTTAGGCACCTGCTGCTACTGAGTTTTGGTGGATGTTGGCTAATAAATTTGAGCTGAGTGGGGAAAAAAACCAGAAACGTTTTAACCATAATCCCAGCCAAGAACTGGGAATTTCTAGCAGAAAATATCACTTTTGGCACAGCAAAAATTAAATAATTCCAACCCTTTCTATTGCTTTCTCTTTCTTTTGGCACTTTTTGTAAGATGGAGCATACAAGGAAGAGCTGTATCACAAGATTGGTATCCAGGGTGACACATGATGAAAAATAGTCAATACACAGTTAAGTAAATAGCTTCAGCCCTTAAGATGGAAAGGGAAGGCAAAGAATAGGAGTCTTTCTTATGTCACTGAAACAGTGTTTATATTGGTTACATTGTTTTGCATAATTGAAAAGCCGTGAGACAGTTCACTAGAGAAAAGGGCATTTTCAAAAGAGATTAATGTTGTGCTCAGGGTCTAGAAGAAAATTACGGCAGTAGAGTTGCTCATACACTTTTCCAATTTTCATCCCTTCTTGCTCATTCTGGGAAGAGAGGTTCACTTGAATATTTTCCATAAATAATTTCAGTGTTTTGTTCCAAAAAGACTGGATGCTGGTTGAAATGAAAAAATGTGTGGACTATTTAATGCCTGCAGAGTAGAACCAACAAGGAGCACGTGGAAATGGTGCTGATTAAGGATAGTTTTCTTGCAACACTGTTCTCTTTATGGATGTCCTTGTGGTTTAGGATTTTACCCATACTATTGGAGCGGAGCACTGTTTTAGGGATTTTTTTTTTTTGGGGGGTGGGGGGAGTGTGGAATGTTATTTGAAAGATTCATCAAAACTGAATGTTGGTGCAAATCTCCTTCATCTGATGCTGATTTGCAAAACACTTGCATGTGCAGTGGTGGTGGGAATAACTGTTGTGGGTGGGTGGTTTGGCTCTGCAGGATCTGAATGCCTTGGGGGAAGGAGTTAAGGGTTCATATGTCCATGTAGTAGTAGCATCCCTAACCTGCTGTGTAGTCTTTGCCACGAGATAACTACTCAGTCGTTTAGGCTGAACCCATGGGAGAGTAAGATGCAAAGTTGCATTTCTCACATGAGTGGAAAAGTTAATTAAACAATTACTCCCCCTCCCCCCCCCAAAAAAAAAAAAAAAAAAAACAAACCAAAACCCAACAAACAAACAAAACCAAATAAAAAACAAACAAAACTCACTAAGAAAACCAAACAAAACCTCAAAATCCCAACCAAACAAAAAACCTAGCCCTGTATCCAGGAATGCTCCCTTGTTTCACATGCCCTGAGAGCTGGAGAAATGTTGTCCCAGCCCTACATAAGATGGATCTATGTAAGTGACCCCTCTGCCCAGAGCTGGGGACCAGGGCTGCATCTCCCACCTCCCTCAGAGGAGAAAGGTCTGAAATCTGCCCTTGGAAAGTCTAGTTACTCCATCCAAGCTCAACAGCTTCTAGATGAGATATAGGACAGGATGGGGCACTGGCCCTGGAAGGGGATGGTATTAACAGGGACTTCTCTTTCCATCCACAGTGGGAGCGCCTCTGGTTCCTCATCCTCACCTCATCCTTCTTCCTGACTCTGGTCTGGTTTTACTTCTGGTGGGAAGTTCACAACGACTACAATGAAATCAACTGGTGAGTAGAGATTCCCTGTCACGGAGGGGCAAACCCTTAACAAATTTGGCTGCCATCATATGCCTCTGAGAACTGTTTGACACTGGGTTGGATACATTTGGGTCCTTCAGATGGACTTGTTAATGAGAGTAGAAGGAAAGTGAGGTGGGAAGAGAGACTGAGAGACCGAGCTACTTCTGCCTGTCTTGACTGATAGATGTAACGTGTCCTCACGTCTCTGTTGCGTGGCTGTAACGGTGCTTGGGGTAGGTGTGCTCCCTGGTGAAAACAGCATGTGAAAACAAAGATGATGTTGAAATCACATAGAAGCCTTTTTGGTTGTGTTTTGTTTATTTGTTTCTATGGTTGGCTGAGCAATTTGGCTGCAACTTTCCACAAAATAGAAATGACAAAAATTCAGCCTGAAGCAGACATGGGTGTGGAAAATTTTGCAAAGTTGGAAGGAGCTGAAAACAAGCTTTCCAATGGGATGTGCTGGGGAGTTCAGGGTGTTGCCAGCTCTCTCCAGTACTGGAAATTATTCTCCCCTTTACTATCTCAGGCAGCATCTTAAAATATTTTGACAGTACCTTGGGCTCTCTTCTAACCAAACTGCTTTGACATCATCTTCTTGTCAAAGATAATACGTAAACTGTATTTTAAAACACAGTGGGTAGCTGATCCCTTAAATCACCTGCTTTAGATGCTGAAGTTGTGTGAGGGGAGAGTGTTTACTAACTTAATGATGTGAGCTGTCTCTTCCCAGGAGTGTGGTTTTTCTCTTTGCTCAGACCCACACTCTGAGAACTGAAACCATCACCATTGCTCTTGATTATTTATAACACTAGCATGAAAAAAAGCACCTCTTTTCAAAGGATATTTTGGAACTCCTCTTTCTTTCAGTTTATATCTTCAGTAAAGGATGTGAATGCTTCTATTCCGCTCCAGTCCAAAGTCAAATCTGTCTTAGCTCAAAGTTGAGAAAGGGCTAAAAAAAAAAATAATGCAGAGATGAAGCTAAGGCTGCAGTGCTGCAAAGTTTTGGGTTCCCAACTATTCATGTAGGAACGGGAGGAGATGTGCAGGTCTGCTCTGGATGCAAAAGGTACTTGGGCTTTAAAATGCCTACACATGTCACCTGCAGACCAAAGCCCCTTCCCCTGCCATGCAACCCAGTGTGCATAGGGTGCTAAAAGCACTTCTGGATTGACAGCGCTGGAAAAACAAGCTCTTTTGTGCACAGCAGTCGTGGAAGAGGCTCTCTGGATGCAAAATAGCAGGACTACATCTGTTCAAGTGTTGCCGTTCAGCACTGAAAAGGGGTCAGTGCTTTGTATGCGCTGTAACCCCAATTAGATCCCTGCTCCACGCACTTGGCACCAGAGGTTGAAGAGAACGTCAGGGTTTCTGTAAAACAGCCTGAAATGCTGTGGAAAGGCTGGGAGGGAGGATGATAACATGGGGTGAGATTTTAATTACAGACATGCTGGTTCCAGGCGGAGAGGAAACAATTCCCACCGGGTCCATTCAGGCTGAGCCTGGCCCTCTTCCCTCCCCGCGCAGATGCATGGGCTCCATTAAAACAGAACAGTTTTCAGCCAGACGGGGTATAAAGGAGATGACAACATCATTTTGATTCCAACAAGGCTGTGAGCCTGTTGCTGACAAGGTAGGGTGGAGCACTGGCTCTTAGAAACCCCATCTTTGCTCTTCCTCAGTGGCCATCACTTTTGGGTCATATTTGTAGGCAAGGTTACTTTGATACTTGGTCCTGTTGCCTTCCTCTCTGCTCCACTGATTTATTTGCAACCCGTGATCTCTCTCAGACTAGAGGAAGGGCTCTTTGGGGCCAATGCCATCTCTGCACAGGATCTAGCACACCGAGCTCCTGGCAGGGGCTCCCAGGAGCAGCTGGGATGAAGAATTGCTGTCACATTGGTGTGATGAGCTGGTGAGCTTGTTCCTGCTCTCCAAAGCTCATCCGTGTGAGCTCCTTCCTCTCATCATGTGCAGGCAACTACGATGAACTTCTTCAACCTGTCCCACCACAGCAGGTGAAGAAAGACTGGAGGCATCTGTCCAACCGGCCCTGCAAAGGAGGGCTATTTGCCAGCAGTAGACTAGGCTGACTGAAGTCTTGAAACCCCAAGGATGAAGACTTCCCCCCTCTCTGGGACTTGCTCCAGCACCGCACCACTCCCTGAGGAGAAGATTTTCAACCCAAACCTCTAAGGGCCATTTCCAGAGTGACAGATGCTGTCACAAGGGGAAGAGTTTGATTTAATCATCTTCATAACTGTCAGACAGTGTAGGCAGCAATTAGATTGTCTCATAGCCTCTTCTCTGTGAGACTAAACAAGCCCAGCTTCCTCAAGCTTTCCTAGTAAGCTGTGTGCTTCAGGTGCCTCTCCATCTTGGCTTGGTAGTTCTCCATTGGACCTTCTCCACATCCTCCTTGAATGGGGAGGCCCAAACCAGGGCATTGTGGTGAGCAGAAGGGAGAGAAACTGATGACACTTCTCTTAATGCCACCCAGAACGTGGCTTGACTTATCCACAGTGGAGGTACCCTGTTGGCTCATTCAACTTCATGTCCCCTCCATAACCCCAGGTCTTTCTCGGCAGGGTTATTAACATGCTAATGTAAAGCCTCGTTATTCTAGTTGAAACAACGGTGTGCTGCAATACCTCTCTTCTGTGTTCTTTTGGTTAAAATGGTACTTGAAACCTGGATTCATTAAGATGTTTTTTTGTTTCCTAACCCTGATGTGCAGAGTGTTGTGAAATGCTGCTGAGCAGCTGCCGGAGGTGACTTAAGAGGTAGCAGAAACCTACAGATGAGCACAGCAAACGATGCCTGCGGTTCAGGCAGCGTGCTTGGGGTCCAGCAGTGGATGCACCTATTTATGTAAACCCGAACTGACCTAATTAAATAGTCGCAGTGATAGGTTTACATTTATATGGGATTTGGCCTTTAAACTTGTAAAGATTTAAGGGACTATTCTGGGATTGAAATGGGCTTCAGAAAGACAAGGCAAAATCATAGCCCAGCATGTGTTGCTGCAGGCTTCTAACCTCTTCCTGCGAGGCTGAATATGCAATGAGGTCCTTGTCAGTGAAAGGGCTTTGTGCCTCTTAAATTCAAGTGAATTTTTTTTTAATTTACTGCTTCCGGCATTTCCCTTTTTGGTGTCTACACTTAATTACATTATACTTCAGATCTCCAGTGTGCAAGTTATGTACTGCAACAGAAAGCTCGACGTTGGTTAATGAAGGATATGGGAGATGCTGTGATTTTTGAACCTGGCTGTGCTCCCTCTGGAGCAGGACTATAAATGCAAGTCTGTGTAGCAAATTCTTTCTTCCTTACTTCTGGAGAAGTCTTGTCTGGCTCATAACTACCATGGAAACAGCATTTTAAAACAGTTATTTGCACATCAAGTGAAGACCTGGCACTATCAGAGGGCCACTTGGAGGGACATCAGAGCAGAAACTGAAACGTACTGAAGCTGAGCAAAGGAAGCTCTTGATGGTGGCATGAACAAAGACTTCAGAGGAGCCCTCTTTTCTTTCTTCCCTCATTTTTACTAACAGTGTGTCTGAATCCCTTCACACCCCTTTTGTTAGGGCTTTTTGAATTCATAGCAGAACCTGGACATGGATCATGTTTGTTGAGCCCAAAGATTTGCTCTCCAGATCCTACATGGGAGCTTTACTGCTGGACAAAAGAGATGGGGCAGTTGCCAGGCCAGAGTTTGTGGCTGATGAGTGATGCTGGATTTGAGTGGTGGGGAGAAGGTTGGGTATTTGACCTGCTTGTGTGCAGCATTTATGTCTGTTGTAAGCAAAAAAAGGCGACACAAAACCTGGGTACTCGTCTTGGCCAGTTCATTGAATAAGCTGATGAGTAGGGCTGAGGAAGGCTAGTGGGACCATTCGACCCGAGTCTCACCTTGCCAGATGTTGGAGAAGCCCGATGTCCGCTGTGTTATGGGATCCTTTAACACAGTGAGGTCTGTCTCAACTCGGCTTTCTGGAGTCTCTGCTCAAGTGTGTCCTGGACCTGGTTGCTCCTCTTCAGCAAAAAAACTGGCAGATCAGGCTGGGCTTCATTGGGGTCCTTGTGTTTGGAGGTCCACAGGAGATCACAGCGGCCAGGCGCTGCTCCAAAGCTCATGTGTCTGCTGGATGTGTGTGAGTGGTACTACTGCATCATCTACCCCATAACCATCCTGTCCTTGCTGTACCAGAGGATTTGCATGTAGCTAAAGTTTAACCCCAATCCGAGTCAACTTGGTGATGTTTTTTTTTTTTCTTCTAAAAATCCAGTGGAAAAAGTTTTAACCCAGGTCAGGCTTGAACTCTCAGAGCCTGCAAGAAGGGTTCTGGGATTTGGCTGCTTCTCTCCTGGTGTGGTGGGACCTGGGTGCCCTTCTGCATTTCTGGCCACAGAAGGTAGTTGACCGAGTCTATTTTGTGTCTTGCTATGGCTTTACTGTAATGTGCTTTAGTGACTCTGTAATCCAACTCCAGGACAGTTTTACTGGGAAATATATTACTATTTAAATGCAAATTTGACATTTGAGACCTAATGCTAGCATAAGGGACAGTGCTACTGCCGTGAATTATAGTCTGCTTCGCCTGGTGCTCCTGTTCATAGAGCTTTCGCTGCCCATTGGCTTCATGAAAGTGATGAGGAGAGGCAGGATGCTGAGCTGAATCTGCCTTCTGAAATACAGGGTTGGAAAACCTGATAACTGAGAGTAGGGAGGATCCCTAGATAAATAAAGGCGAAGGAGGGAAGAAAAATCAGCTTCAGCGGGAAGATATGAAGCCTATCTCTTTGCCTGTTGGTTGGAGAGGTGGTAGGGGAAGAGCACTGCAATCCCAGAAGCTAAGGTGGGGAGTGAACGTGGGTTTCTCTGTTCCTAGAGCAGTGCTGTGATCACTAGGCTATAGGAAAAATATTTGGCTTCTATGCTTTTGTGCTGCTAAGCCTTGACGAGGTGGCAACTGTGCTGCGTGTGCCCAGGGAAGCTGGGGAATTCACTGGTGAACGATGACCTAGAGGAACCAAAGAAGGTGTTTTGGAGGTACACGCTTCGGAGGTATACGTGTAGGATGTCAACTATACCTCAGTCCTGCTCTAACCCTCCTTCAGTCCCTGCTCTGATCCTCCAGCGCATCAGGACATTGCTGCTGCCTCTTGCCAAGGTTGGATCACGGAGCCATTTAATGGCGATCCCTTACTTAGAGCTTTAAGGTAAATGGAAGGACCAGGAGAAGGAAACACATGGAGCCAAAAAACCCCGCAGGCATCCTTCAGGCTGGGCAGACCAACCCCTCAGTCAGTTGAAGATCAGAAGGTCAAAAGGATGCAGTTCCTCTAGCCAGCCCCATTTTGGGAAGTTCCGATCCCAGTTCCTAAAAGTCCTCACTCTTGCAGGACTGGAACTTCTCTACAGCCTGGTGGAATAAGAGACACCGTCTCTGATAGGTACAGGAGATCCAATTTCTCCCATCACCTGGTCCCTCTGCAAAGAGTTTGTGCCTTGAGTTCATAGCACAGCTATACACAGCAACATTAATTTTCCTCCCCTGTCCTTGATATTATCTCTATATTGTATTTATTAGTCTATAAGCACATGGGACAGCGTTGGATTTATTGTTTGGGCAAACACTACCACACATGGGGATACTTTTTTTTATTTGTAGGGAATATTTTTTTGGAAAACTCAAGCTCTGGTCCTGTATGATTTCTTTTTTTTTTTCCCCCCCCAACATAATGTTGTTGCTGTGTTTGACATAATTGTCTGATTCCTCTTTGCAGAGTTAATTTCCCATGAGGGCTCAAAGCAGAAACACTGGGTTTTGTTTGAGTGACTTGTGCTTTTTACTGCCTATCTCTTGTCCATACAGTGAGAATGGAAAGACCCATTTTCTAAAGTTTTGTCTAATCCTAGTGAAGTTGCTATGGTGTTGAATCTCTTCTGAATCTGTACTTCACACTTATCTTTCAGGTTTTTATATAACCGAATGGGATATTGGAGTGACTGGTCCATTCCAATACTTGTAACAACTGCTGCTGGCTTTACGTACGTTACGGTGTTATTGGTGAGTAGAATAAAATGCCATTTCCTAGAGGTTTGTGTGTTTGTTTTAAAAAGGGCACGAACTTCTTAGTTCACCTTGAGCAATTTTCCTTTCAGAAGTGATTTTTCTCTTCCTTTCTTTCTCTTAGCCTTAAGTTGCCTAAAATAAATGGAAAGTGAAAGATTCATGGTCTTTGACCTCAGATTATCAAGAGCAAAGACAGAGACCCTGATACTGGTGGTGTGGTTGGCCTAAGGAGAAACACAGCTCTTGTTCCCCTTAGTATGGACCAATTTCCACTTCGGTGTATCTCCCGGTCACAAGTGCAAGTTGTTTCCCCCTATCCCAGGGTGCTGGGACCTTCAAGGTGGTGTGACCCTTTGGTTAGGGTGCCGGTACTTGGCCCCATGTAGGCACTGCTTCCTTCAGTCCTGGGAGCTGTGTCCCCATGGATCAGACTCTCAAATCCGTGCCTCTTGGAGGTCAAAGCCTTTCCATCCACATCCTTGGCTTTGCAAAGGATCTGTTTGTACAACTGAGCTAGATGTCATCTTGGACCATCCTCATGCCAGCCCTGCTTTCTGCCCTGGCCTGTTTAGTTATCTTTTTGGGTGGTGATGTGTTCCTGCATGTTCAACCCCTTAAAGGTTGTGATGTGCCTATGTCTGACTCTTGATTTCTTCCTCCCAGATACTAGCACTATGTCACATAGCTGTGGGACAGCAAATGAACCTGCACTGGCTTCACAAGGTAAATGGCTCTTCTCAACTTGCAAGTGAGCAGGATCTCAATAAAACAGGAGTCTGAGGAGCAGGTGGTGTACGTGGCACTCACTGTCGTGGTCTTTTTGGGAAGAGCATAAATTGTAGATATCTGGTTCACATGTCCTCATCTCAGAGGACTGAGCAAATTGCATAGTAGAGATGGTCAAGGCTTGAGGACGAAGACTTTGGTGAAATGCTTTGGAGTCTGTGCTGACAGAGGGACAATTTTTGGAGGCTGAGAAACGCTGGGTCATTAGAGTAACCTGGGTTTAGTCCCAGCTCAAGGTGGTACTCCATCATGAACCTCTCTGGTGCTCCTTTCTGTGCTGAACCCAGCCCCGGAGGAGGGGCTGAGCAGATGTGAAGCTGGTCAGGGTGTGCTTGGAGGAACTGACTGGAAGAGCCTTGGGAGAAGAAGTAGGTGTTAGTTAAAATTGGCGGTGTGCAATCTGCAGGTTGTGGTTTGCTGGAACCCAAGGAGGTCCTGATTTGTATGTAAAGCAGTTTGAAAAACATTGCTGTGAAATGTAAGAGAAGATGCAGATCTGGTGTTTGGAGCACAGAAGAGGAGAGGAAGGGTATGTAGCAAGCTGCAGGGAGAGACGGTGCCAAAGAAAACGGTTTGGCAGGATTCAGTTGTAACTGGCAATCTGCTCATAGGTAACTAAGGGACCAGTCCTGAATCTGCTGATACACAGCTCCTCCTGAATTTGGTTGTTCTGCACCTGACAAGGTCTTGCAGGATCAGAGCCTGAACAGATGTACCACTCCCCCAAACAGGGAGAGCACAGACCTCCCTGCCCTCTCTTTTTTTTTTTTTTTTTTTTTTCCTAGAAATGATAGAAATTATGCTTCCTTGGGAGGAAGGGATGCAATGCAAAAAGGAGGCGGGGACTGTTTAACTGCTGCTGGAAAATAAATTGTCAGTTCTCGAGTCTAACATATGTTTCTTCTTTGGGGGAAATGGTATTTTTCAGACATGCTCCAGGTGGCTGGTGGGTTTGGATGAGTAAGTCCAGAAGAGGAATGTGTTGGTGGAGATCAGTTAGTTCTTGCCTACAGAAACCCACCCTTCCTTCCTTTCTTCCAAAAAAAGTCCACTTTTCATCACAACTCAGATGCGTTGCTCCGTCTCACTCTTCCCTTCCCCACACCTCCCTCGGCTTTCTAAGGAGGTTGAGATAAGAGACTGGAATAAGTTAATGTTCTTCTCTGCAACCATGCAGAAATGTCTTCAAATATAGATTAAAGCATGTGGGAAAGGCTGCTATGTGCAAACCACATGATTCCTTTCAATTTTCTCCTGTAATCCTGCAAAAAGAGCTGAGGATTTTAAGCCAAGTTGGAGATGCATGGGGGGGGGACGGTAAGAAGCAATAAGTCAGAGCTGATGGAAGGTGGAAATGATGGAATGGAGATACACTTGTGTCCTGACACTTCTGTGCCACACAGGGCAGCGATGTCAAGGGGAATTAGGGTTGTGCTGAGAAAAACCTAGTTGACAAAATCTTCTGTTGCTGCTGAATTTAGAGTTCAGCTCTGGGGGATAAAAAATGGATGAAAAGTAGATTGGATCTACGGGTTGCGTGCTGGTGTTACACTTTGGCAGGTGACTGAGAGGTCTGACCACAGGATGAGGGAGAGGAATGCCTACTGCATGCGAGGCCTCTTGGCAAAGTGCAGTTGTCCACATGCATTGCTTTGTGCTTCATTACTTCAGAGTCATTAATGAGGAAATCTCTTGAAATAGTGTGGCTTGCCACTATAGGTCTCTGGGAGTTGTCTTTTAAATAGGCAAGCAAATGCCGTCTTTCCTTGGATGTGCAGGAATAGGTTGGCTAGGGTTAGCAGGTTCTTTGAATGCAGCCTCTTGGCTTGGTGGATCCTTTTCAACCTGGGGCAGCTAGATCTCCTAACCTCTTCTGCTACCCCAGTGTGCTTTGTTCATGTTCCCTGGAAGCTGGATGCTCAGGATAAACTGCTATTGTCCTGTGGACACCCCTTGTGCTGTTGGCAGATCTGTCTGTGGACATCTAGGAGAGGAACAGCAGGTGGGAACCAAAGCTAAACTAGAAAGAGGAATCCTGCCCCTACATACAAGAGTGATTTCTGTAAATGTTGGGAATGTGGGTTTTTTATTTGCTTGTCCAAGGTATTAAGTAAAGCTGATATTGATCTGGAGATGTCCTGTGCATCCTAGATAATCAATTCATTGCGAGGTATCAGTTGAACTTTTCTGCCCAATTTTCCCACAGATTTCAGACAGTATGTGAGACTGAGACATAGAGCAGCAGCATCCTTTGAATCCGGCAGGCATGTGGAATGGCAGAAACTGAGACACCAGACGGAGAGGCGGAGAATAGTGAACTATTTTTTGATAGATAGCCCAGATTTTTGGTCTTTAGAGCTGGAGTTATTTCTATGGCAGTTTTTGATGGTTTGAACTTTTTAACCTTCAAAATGGAGATGACATTCTCTTTTTGCCTGCTTTGCTCAGACTTCTGAGTGCTTCCACGTAGAAGGAGGGGGAGGCTGGGGGGAGGTGGCTGATGGGCTGGGTCCTGGTCTGCCATCTCGGTTCAGCCCCTGTCTCATCCAGAGCCTCCTCTCAAGCCACAGTATCTGCTATAACTGCTCTGTCAACATGGCTTGGATGCTGACTGCACAGTTATTGCTGTTTCAGACCCAGGTGAAACCACATCCATGCTCAAAGCTGTGCTTGAACCATCTCAAGATGATTGTTTAGTGATGAGGATGCACAGCCTTGCTTGCACACGTGTTCATACGAAGTGCAATGTTCATCGTCTGTTGGGTGCGTTCAAGGTTTATGTCTCAACAGAACTGTTGGACAGTCAAATTGAGCAAAGTCTGCCAACTTCTCATAGCACTGATGCATCACAGGCTGTTGCAGAAAGGCCAGGAGGGTCCAGGATCACCTCTTGAAGTTGCCTGGCAGAACCCAATCTTTGTTTAAGCTGATTTTGATCCAGTTTGGTAAAGGAAGCCACCTGATCTTTCCATACTATTGGCCACTGTGTGAAGAAAGCGAGAGATCATCCATGAGATATGTGCGCTCCTGGGACTAATTAACCCGATGTTGTATCTCCAGTGGTGGAAAAGGGGAGGTTATGCTGGGACAGCACACAAGCCCAACCTCATTCCTTGTGGGTCCTAAGGCTAGTTATTTTACACCTTTTATTATGTAGAAAAGTTTTCTCTCTACATTTTCCCAGTCTGTAAAACTTACATGATAATGATAGGCTCCAGTATGTAAATACTGTCATATTTGTTGCAGATTGGCCTGATGACGACCTTGATAACTACCGTGGTGACCATGTCATCGATAGCACAGCTTTGGGATGACGAGTGGGAAATGGTATTTATTTCACTGCAAGTAAGTTGTCTGCGAGGACGCTGCTCTGGGTGGGGAAGGGGGCTGGTGCAGCTACATGTCATGGATTTTGTGACTTTCTACTGTATAAAACCCTGTCTTGATGTTGGTCACTCCCAATATTGATATCTTGGCGATGAGCAAATTTGCAGCAAAACTCCCACGGAGTCCTCATGGCCACTATATCAGTTTGTCTCCATCTCCTGGGCTCTTTCCTTTAAATTCAAACCAGGGCTTGGCTGCAAAGTTTGAAGTGGAAAATACTGAGGCTGGGTGTGACTCAAAATTGCTGGAGGGAGGGGGCAATTCCTCCCCTTGGTTTGGCTAGCAGTGCTCTGGACACTGCTTTCCAGGCCTGGAGCATCATGCTCTTCCCAGTCCTATGGGAGGAGTACTCTAGGTTTGTTTTTTACATTGCACATGAATTTATATATATCTAAAAAAGAATGCAACTTCTGTGCTCTAGTCTTATTTTAAGAAAGACTTGTGGTATGCTGCAAGACTATGTAAGTAGTAAGGAAAATAGTTGGAAACTGTTAGTTTCTTGATAGACTTGCTCTCTATTTCTTTTTTCCTCTTCCTCAAAAAGGGGTCCCAAAAATATATTGCCCGTGAAAGGCTTGAGAAGTTTTACTGGTGATCGCTGCTGTATATTTGGGAGTAGGTAAATACAGGGGGGAAAAATAGCATTCACACAAGTGACTAAGATATCTCAGAAGTTCTTCCCTTTTCTTGTTTTTAAAGATTTAAGCAGGCAATTGGAGAACAGAAGCATGACTCAGAGGAACCATCTCAAACTTTCTCTCGTGGTGATACACCATGGTGATACACTGTCCAGTGTGTTCATAGAATGGTTTGGGTTGGAAGGGACCTTTAAATCTCATCTGGTCCAACCGCCCTGCCCTGGGCAGGGACACCTTCCACCAGACCAGGTTGCTCACAGCCCCATCCAACCTGACCTTGAACACTCCCAGGGATGGGGCAGCCACAGCTTCTCTGGGCAACCTCTGCCACTGCCTCACCACCCTCAGTATAAAAAATGTCTTCCTTCTATCTAGTCTGAATCTCCCCTCTTTTAGTTTAAAACCATTACTCCTTATGCTATTGCTACAGGCCCTGCTAAAAAGTCTGTCCCCATCTTTCTTAGAAGCCCCGTTTAAATGTTGAAAGGTTGCTCTTGCCTGGAGCCTGCTCTTCTCCAGGCTGAACAACCCCAGCTCTCTCAGCCTGTCCTCACAGCAGAGGTGCTCCAGCCCTCGGATCATCTCCGTGGCCTCCTCTGGACTCGCTCCAACAGGTCCATGCCCTCCTTGTGCTGAGGACCCCAGAGCTGAAGGCAGTACTGCAGGGGGGTCTCACCAGAGCGGAGCAGAGGGGCAGAATCCCCTCCCTCAATCTGCTGACCACCCTGCTTTGGGTGCAGCCCAGGACATGGTTGGCTTTCTGGGCTGCAAGTGCATGTGGCTGGGTCTTGTCCAGTTTTTCATCCACCAGTACCCCAATGTCCTTCTCAGCGGTGCTACTTCTTGATCCCTTCATCCCTCAGCCTGTATGGATACCGCAGTTGCCCCAACCCATGTGCAGGACCTTGCACTTGGCCTTGTTGAACCTCATGAGGTTCACGTTGGCCCACTTCTCGAGCTTATCCAGGTCTCTCTGGATGACATCCCATCCCTCAGGTGTGTCAACCACACCACTCAGCTTGGCATCATCTGCAAATTTGCTAAGGGTACACTCGATCCCACTATATCATTGATAAAGATATTAAACAGTACTGATCCCAATATGGACCTCCAAGGGACACCACTCATCACCGATCTCCATCTGGACATTGAGACATTGTCAACTGTTCAACTGGACTACAAGAAATTTAAAACTTGATGGCACCAAGAGCCTTACTTGAATTTGCCTGATATTTAAGCAGGCCTTTTCCAAATATCTGCGTTATTGTGTGAGCCCTTCCTCTTGGGGAAGGGCGTTAGAGCTTTCCCACTTTGCCTTCATAGTGGCCTGAGTGCCAAAGGCAATGGTAGGATTTGGAAGAAGAATGGCCAAAACAGATGCAGAAGCCTGATGCAGGATTGGTGTGAAATCCAACTGGAAATGGAGCAGTCTGATTGCCTATGGAGCCTGCAAGATCAATGAATTTTCAAGGTGCTAGGGTGTTTGTAATAACTTTTTCTCTCTCCTGTTCTTGTGTCCTGCAGGCCACAGCCCCTTTCTTGCACATAGGAGCGCTTGCAGCGGTCACGGCCCTGTCGTGGTTGATAGCAGGGCAGTTTGCACGAACAGAGAAAGCCAGTGAGTACCACTCGTGTCCTTGTGTGGTGGTCAGGGGTTGGTGGGTAGCATTGGGCCCTCTCGTTGGGAACCAGCTGATGGGAGGCAATGCTGGTTCCTTCTCAGGGCTCACAGCCTCCAGCTCAGCCATGCTGGGGAGGTGGATGCTCTCCTAGAGTAACCTGGCTGAAACCGGAGTTGGGTGTATCTGGTCTGGGGATGCACCCAGATCCCACCGCTGTCAATTTGCGGTCAGAAACACATCATGGCTGGAGGTAAAAGGGCTATTTTCAATGATGAAATAAATAAAAGCATCCAGATTTCCATCAGTCTGCTTTAGAAAACATAAATGTACCCTCTGCAGCTAACATGCAATGTTCTTCTCGATATCTCATAAGCACCTCTCCCTTCCCCTGGCTCCTTGGCTCTTGTTCACCCGCCTTTCTAGCTTTTGAAAGCCTTAATGGACTCGTTGCTTGTGGTATAGTAGCACCCAGAGGGCTCAGTAGAGATCTGGTTCCCTGGTGGTTAGGTGCCTCCTTTAACGCATGTTGGGATGTGGTCAAAGGTCTAAGGGAGCAGAGCGGTGAAGGACACACTGAACCCAGCTCTTCTTGATGGTCCCATCAGCTGAAATAAGCTCTTCTGTGCATCTCCCCTGTCCCACCTTGTTGCCAGAGCCACTTCCAAACCCGAGATGTTCCTCCAGGTTTTCTCGTGAAATAATCTGAGCCTTCTGTGCCCTCAGAAGTGTTTTTCTTCAGGGCGTCCATGGATGTTCTCAGCCATTTGTGCCAGCTCCAGAAAAATTATTTTAATTGGTATTTAACCTGCAGCAAAATACAAGCCCTAGAAGGATTTGGCAGCACTTGCAAAAGACTTCCAAGAAGTGGGAGTTAAGAATGAGGAAATGGTGTCTGAAGATGGAAAGGTTTTGATATCCGAAAAGACCTTTCAAGAAGGAATTGCTCTGCCTTGATTTATAAATATGCCAATAAAGCTGTACCTGGTTCTTCTTAAATATGTCCTAGCGTGTAATTAGGCTGCCAGTTGAGGGAGGATTTGTGGTTGTGCCTAAAGCAGAGACTGCATGTGCTCCTTCTGAATTCCTCATACTTTCTCTCTTGCAGCTGAGTTCCCTGAAAATAGCTTTTTTTTTTAATAAGCCAGGAAGCTGTTTTCCTTCTCTTTTTTTTTTTTTTGCTTCTGGGTTGTGGGTGTGGGTTTTTTTTTGTTTTTAAGCGAAAACATTCATCTCTTCTGTACCATTGGATCTTCAAGTTATTTCAGGGTCATTTTACTTGTGAAAAGATATTTTAAGATATTTTACCTGGAGGAGTTTACAGCCTTTTTGGTGTAGAAATGCTTGACGTGGTGATGTTAAAAATGGAAGCGAAGAACTGAAATCTCTGTGAGAACCTACAGTCACTTGTAATGGTAAACCAGGATTTCACTCACTAATAACAATCTTTTGGAAATAACTGGAGCAGCTGCAGTCGTTGGTGCAAGTCTGTTCTTGCCATTTCTTTGAGGCATGTGACGGTCTTCAGCGGCTGGCTTTTTTCTGAGCAAATTTAAATTTTTTATTTATTTTTATTTGATTGTTCCTCCTATGCTACTTTTTCTGAACCTGGAGAATAGACGTTTCTTGAATAGCTACTGTGTTTTAAAAGATAGTAGCTTGTTTTCAAAAGCTTTCTTCTGAGGTCATATAGAGAAGATTGAACTCAAAGCAGCTCTGGAAGCCTTGGGCAGTAAATGGGTGTGTGGGAAACGGGCTCTTCTGGGAGCCCAGACTGGGCTGGAGTGGTCACTAAGGGCAGGAGGAATGGAGAAGGAAGGCTTGCTTCTAAATATTGTCCTTGGTGGTGTCACGTTGTAGAAAGTGGGAGATTTATTTGTTCTGCTTGCTTGACTTGGGTGGTTACCAGAAGAACTTCTTCCGTACAGACCATCCAACCTCAAATTGAACAGCGTGTACTTTGCTTCTATTTCATGCATACATTTCATTTTGGGATTTTTGTGTGCGGTCTCAGTCGCCACATCTTCATAACTGGGTCAGGTCTTCAGCTCCATTTTAACATGATCTGTGACCCATGCTGGGGCATCTTTTCCTTGCGGGTACAGTCCAATGATCAAAATATTTGGAAGCCTGTGCGTTTCACATGGGGCTTACTTTTAGTCTGAATCTGAGCTGTTCAGTCCCTAAACTGCAGCACCGGGAAGGAAGGGACCAGATTCTTTGCACAACCTGAGACTTTGCTGACAGTTAGGCTGATTTTCAAAGACTGGTTGGTGTGTGGTGTTCCTGGGGTGAGCAAGAATTGGGTCAGGATCCTGTCCTGTGTCCGTCTGGAGGTGTTGATGCTGGTAACGCATAATTTCAGGGCACCATACCTTTATGGTGCAGGACGCAGCGTGAGCTCGCTTAGCAAGATGCTATTCAGTTCTTGAGTGCTCTGTGGGTGATTGACATCTCTTCCAGAGAGGAGGAAAAATTAGCTGGCAAAGATGCTGGTGTTACTTTCTGGCTTGTAGGAACATGTTTGAATGAGGCTATTAGATGCTGGAAGCAGAAAGCAGCTTGTTTATGTGTGAAACTAGATCAGTTGTGGTCAGGACCAGAGCTGGGCTGTTCTGTCCTTCCCCTAAAAAAACACCTGCCTTCTCCATCTTGTATCCCTTGCAAATATTTACTTTAAAGGAGTTTTTGGGGTTTTTTTTGAGGTTTTCCCTTGAGTTCCAAAGCCTTAATGAGTTTGCAAAACAAATAATAATAAAAAAATTAAAAATGAAGTCTTTTGCTTTACTATCTGCGGTTTCAAGTGACTCCAAATAGCTCAAAAGTTCAAAGATTCTTTACAAGGAGTACACACCTGTTGGGTACAAGAGGTGTTTCTGTTGCACTGTCGGCACCTTCGAAAGATTCCCAGAGACTTTGGACTTTGTGAGACGTCGCTGGTAGTCAGAGGTGGGCAGCTGAGGCATGGCGTGGGAGACAGGACTGCTCCCCTGGCCCCGAGCATTGCAGCCAGTCCCTCTTTGCTGCATTTGCTCATCCTGTAATGCGGTTGGTTGTGGAGACCCCAGGGTCTTTGGTTAAACACGTCCAACTTAATCAGTAAAACACTATTGCAAATTAACTCGGTTCTGGCTGGCACAGATCTTAATGCAGAAGCAGATAAAGTGGCTTTACTCTGAAATGGGTGGTGTTGGTGAACCACAAATGTGAACACAAGTGGTGTAAACTTGAGGGATTATTAAAAGCACCGACGTGGTGCCATGTCTTATTTGTGAATATGTTTAACTAGTGATCTGTTTCCGCTATCATGCGGGGCAAAATTTGGTGCTGTCTCACCCAAAGGGCTGGGTTTTGGACTACATTGCTGGGACTTTAAGCAATTCACTTAACTTTTTGTTTCCCTAATACAAAATGAAGTGAAAACTTCCCTGAGGGCTTGATTAGCTCAAAGAGATTTTTTTTTTTTTTGTAAATAGAATGTATTTTTGCCTAAACACAGTGCTCTGCTGTTGTACTAGCAGCAAGGGCTGTAGACGTCTGTCCTCTGGAGGAAGAGGAAGATGAAGGTGTCTTGACTTTGCTCCCGTGGTGTGAGGAGGTCAGGACCAACATTTTCACCAGCTCTTTCTCTCTCGTTCTATCTCAGCTTCTCAGATGCTGATGTTCACTGCATACCTCGCAGTTGTAGTTGCACTTTACCTCGTCCCCCTCACCATCTCGTCCCCTTGCATAATGGAGAAGAAGGCTCTGGGACCAAAGCCAGCCATTATAGGTCACCGCGGAGCACCGATGGTGAGTAGTCTCACATTGCTAGTACTGTGTTGTCTGACTCTCCTGCCTGTGTAATGGATGATACCGAATCTGATGGTCTCCAGGCTACTCTCTAGAGAATATATATGACAAATATAACTTTGAGACACCTCTCCTGGTTAGAATTACTGCGGTAAATCAGTGCATGAACCCAGAGTTACGTCGTGCCCCAGATGCTCTAGATGCCTTACAAACAAAAAGGCAATCCTCGCCTTGCTCAGGGTTGTTTGTGCCATTATATTTTTCTGGCTGCTAGTTCTGCTGGTTTTTGCTCTCTAGGCTTGGCCCTTGAGCTGCAGCAGTAGAAGTTTATTATTTTTTTTTTAAGAGCTTGAGGCTCAGCTTTCATGTCCTTTGCAGGACCTCACCAACAGTGGTTAAATTCAGCTCCCAGCAGGATGCATTGAGTATGTGGCAATCTGCAAAAACAAACAAAAAAAGCTGTGCTGACCCTACATGACTGCACAGTACTCTTGCGTTACAGATCATCATGAGATTGGGTGAGGTGATGAAACATTTCTGTCATCTGCCTCCGGGTAGACCTTGAAATCATAATCATATAGTCCTTTCTTCTCCAAGGTTTCTGGACATGTCCAGGCTAAAGATGGAGCATGTTGGCTTGGGCATAGCCCTGGGCTTTGGATAAAGCTGTCCGGTGGTATTTGGTCATACAGGTCTGGGTCTCTAGTTCGGATGCTTCTGTACCTGGGTCTGTCGAATGGTTGCAGCTCCATCTCTCTCTGCTGGTTGATTGACTTCAGACAAGATGGCATACTGCGGTGTAGGCACTGGCCTTGCAAAATATTTTTTTTTAATTTTTGGTTTTTAAGTCATCCTGCTAACTTATTTGGTGACATTCAAAGCAGGAAAAAATACCTGTATAGGCTGTCAGAACCTATTTGGCAGGCTGGAGCGTGCTTGAGCTCCTCTCCAAGTTCAAGAGTGCGCACTAGGAGTTTGCTAGGTGAGACCAACACCTGTCATGACACAGAATTATTTTATTTTAGTTATCTTTATTTTTAATTATGTCCTTCTTTAAGCAGTCCCTTGTAATGCCAGCTTAGTTTGCGTCACTCTTAACTATATTGCCTCTGTGGGTGGTGGAACGAAGTTCTGGGCATGATAAATGCTTTTTCCTGTCCCACTGAGTTTGTACCAACCATGAGAGCCAGAAGCAACCAAGTGGGAATCTGGGCTCTGCATGCTTTCTGCATGGCAGAAAATCACAAAACCTGGTAGATTTTCCTCCTGTGGGGTTTCCAGGCCTATGTGCCCCTCATAGCCTTCTAAAGAAACTAAACAGCAAATAAATTCCTTCTATCTTCCAGATAGTTTATGTAAACCTTATCTGGAGCAAGACTCCCAGCAGAGACTTGGCCCTTTGCTTCAGTTTCTTCCTTGGAGCCAGCAAACACTCTCTGCAGTGTGGAATAAGCCATTCTGGGAAGATCCTGCTTGCACGTTCGGGTGCAGAGGGTTGCAAAGGTTGATGAAGAGTAGTGGTGGAGGACAGTTGGTGCTGTGTGTGGAACTGTGACCCAGGTGTTGTTCAGCCTCCCCTTCACCATTCCCCGATACACAGAGCTGGTTGTATGTTAGCAGCAGATGGTTTGCTCTGAAGCCCACAAGAAGCAAGATCAGAGACTAGCAAGCCTTGTTCCAACCTCCAAGCAATAGTTTACATGTCCCATGATGAGTCGGCAGTAGGTTTCTCCGACTGCTTTGCCTTTGCTGTGTGCGTAGTGAGTGTCCTCCAACTGTGCCCTTGAATGGCAAAGCTGAGATGGGATGAGAAAGATGAGGACCAGAGAGAAGTGATCAAAACTTCCTTCTGTACTTCCATCTATGCCTAACTTTTCACTGTATCAAATGTCACCTTGAGTTGGAAGAGCTCTGCCTACAGTGCAAGTCCTCAGGTTGTACGAAGTCATATCTGCTTGGAAACTAATGGTTTTAAAGCCTTGCCAGAAGGCATTTCTGCTAATAGGGTCTTGTTTCACAGGGCTGCTTGCTATGCTTTTGTGGTTGAGCCCAACTTGTATGTAGATTTAGTGTGGAGAAACGGTCAAGTGGAGCTGGGGAGGAGGAAACAGCCCAGAGAAGAGCCTGGAGGCTGAGCTGTAGGACACAGACGTTCTCCCTTGGGCAATGTCAAGATGAAAAGTTTGCAGAGCCTAGGAGTTTGGGACCTGAGGGGAAACTAGATCTAGTGGGACTGGAGATGATAAAAAGCGATGCAATATTTGCCTTCAAATCTCCTGAAGCAAGACAAATGTGCTTTGCTGTGTGGACAAACGTGCTCTCTGGTAGAGCCTGATAGCTGGTTGCTTTGCCCATCTGGCAGGATGAGTCCATAGTATTGCATTTCAACGTCCAATGCTCTTATGCTGGAAAGGTACAAATACAACTGAGTGCTCTTCTGACAAAAGTCAGCAAAGGACATCCATGGGATGGCTGAAGATGCTTGTCCTGAAATAAAGGATTTGCTGGGGACATAGCATATGGGGCAAAACGTGGTGAAACGGAGAGTTTCTCAGGAAAGCTGTAGATATGTGAATTTCCTGAGGGATACTGATCCACCAGTGCATGCAGCCTGCTCCTCAAACAGGAGCAACAATCCAGAGCCTGCTTTCCTCCATGCACGCACATGCCCTGTTTCTCTTCTCTTGTCCCTTTAGGATTTTAAAGAGCAGCATTCATAGTGTCTGTGTGAGTGCGACTCAACTGCTGTCCTTCTTCTGTGGAAGAAAGAAACGAGGAACAGAGGCCATAAGGCTCATATAATTTATCTTGGAACACTGGAGGAGGGAAAAATCCTTGCATTTTACGTAGAAAGAGAAAATTAGAAACCATCCTGGTATCTGTACCTAGACGAATTGTGGCTTGTTGCAGTACAGGAGAGCTACTGGTTCTGCACCGGCTGACCATTTGTCTGTAGTCGTAGTGGTCCTCCAAGCAGCATCCCTTTGGTATCATCCTGTTCCCACATGAACCTTAATCCACTGCTAGAAAAAAGGCTCTTCTGCACAACTCCTTCTGCCTTCCCTTGCCTAAATGTCATCCAGTCATTCCCACTTTTGACTATGCTGAATGTCTGTTCCCATCAGGGTGCTATCTGAAAACCCTTTCTCTTAGCAGGCATTTAGTTAAGCAATCAGTTTCTTTTCAAAGGCTCTTTTAAAATGAATTATTAAGCCTCCAGATCTGTTTCTGTCCTCCCAGACTCCCATCAGGAGAGCATCAGGGTTGTGGTAGCAATGTGCTGGGAATTGAGGGCTCCAGCCCTCACTTAATATCTGTTGGTTTGAAAGGATCTTGTCCTGATACAAGAATCATCTGACACCCCAAAATGTGAGATGGGGTTCTCTGTAAATTTTTCATGTTAATATGTTAAATTTTTCAGATGGTTTTATGAGCAGATGTCTGTTGTCTTTGGTCTTCCATCTTTTTTATTTTTCTTACAGAAACCTAGTTGCATTTTGTCTTCAATGGCAATAGACTTGACTGTCTTCTCCCTGTGATGGTAAATATGATGCTCATGCTGAGGATAAGCCAAAACAAGGGTAGAAGGTAAAAGCTGGGACCAAATCTGAGATGGAAATGAGGAACTTCATCCAGTAGGACATCAACTTCTACTGCCATTTGCAGCCTTAAAGTCTTCTCCCAAATGTCTTTCCTCACATGGTGCTTCAGGTTGAGGCAGGTTGACTTTGCTTTTGGGGTCTGAAGAAGGTGCTGTCCATAATACTGTATCCTACTTTGCTTTTAGGTTGTTAGTCCTAAATATACATTCCTTATAAAAAGTAATTAGGGTCATCATGATGATCTCTGATCACCAATCAATCACCCGAAGGATTAATAATAGCAAGGACTTATCTGAGCAAGTGCTATGTCTGCCTACTTGGAAACCTTCATGAAGCCTGAAAACACACCTCCCATTAGTGGGACCAAAAAGTTACTGGATGGTCTAAAACCAATCAGGCTAAACCTGTGGAAACCATCCAAGCACGTCGGAGGCAAGAACAGCACTTCATTTCGGAGCTGGAGGCTACAAATAGCATTGAAATAAATGCTTTTGGCAAACCACCCGTACAGCTGGTTTTCGGCATGTCTTAACAGCATTGGGAGAGACTATGCCGAAACAGCTGTCCGTGTGCCGCCAAGCATGCGGTGCTGATGCTGTCAAGCTCCTTCCTACAGAGCAGGCGATGTCCATCTCCTTGCTGAGGGCGGGCACCATGCCGGGAGGAGCATTTTTTTGGTGGTACTGACTCATTGGCTTTGCACAACTCCAGAGTGGGAAAGAACCCGTTACTGGGACAAAGTACCTTGGTGGGCAGCCAGGGTTTAATTGTCATTCTGTTCCCTGGAAAATTCCAGCAAATATGGCCTTGCACTGGAGGTTTTTTGGTTTTTTTTTGACACCTGAAGGTAAAGCCTCCAATATATGTTGGTGTTCTTACAGAGATGCTGTTTTATCATCTTGTGGTGCCAACTATCAATAGAAACAGTAATGCAAACTTCTCGTTGGGATTGTGGCTTATTTGGAGAGCTTTCAGCTAATGAAGAGCAAATCTCTGTTGTTCTGGGGTTTTTCTTTCTTGGTGGTTTTGAGGCCCTTTATTTCATCTTATCTTGGGTACCAAAACTTTACCACCACCCCTTTGGGATGGCTTTGTTTTTAAGGGCTCTGAAGTGCTTTGATTTGTACTGTTCGTGCTGCTGAAAATGAGAAGCATTTGGTTTGCTGTATGGCTTACGTGTGTCCACCTATTAAAAAATATGGCCAGTTCACCTGTCGACTGGTCCTATCGACAGTAACAAACAATCACAATTAGCATCTTCTGTCAGACCTGGAGAAAGGCTCGGGTTCATTGAAATAAATCTACGTAAGTTTACGCAGTCTTTCATTAAATCAAGCTTCAGCTTTTTTGTGTGTGCGGTACAACAATAATGAGGTCTTGTGTCCTGCATCTAGTTAT